CATAATTTTATATTATATATTTTATATTATAAATAATTTTAATATATATTATATCTAAATTAACTGACACATTTTTAAACCAACTCCTTATGATTCGTCTTAAAATATTTATTTTTATTTATAAATAATTTTTGCTAAAAATAGATATCTTTGCTAGATAATAATTTTATAATTATTGTTTTAGTTAAGTTAACCTAATAAATATCAGTGATGTTCTATAATATAATTCTTATATTAGATCCTTTTCCACTTACAATCTAATGTATTAATAAAATAAATTTTATTATATAATTAATATAATGATTATTTTTAAACACATTGAATGTCAATAAATCATTTCCCATTTCCCATAGAATAAGCAGATTGATAATTTGATAACTCAAACATATAATCAACAACTACAAATATTAATAAAATAATAAATTTTATTATTTAATTAATATAGTGAATTATTTTTTGGTACACAAAATATCAATAAGTCAGTTCAAAATAAAAAATTTATTATTATCTTATAAATGAGTGGTTTAAAATTAAAAAAATTACTTAAAAATAAAAAAATTATATAAACAATTTGAACCATTTTTAAACCATTTCTTTATCGGACTTACAGTTAAATATTCATTTTTAAACACCAAAAATACTATAATTCTGCTTAAAAATTCTCTTTATAGGTTTCAAGCCAATCATACCATAAACAACTAAAAATATTAATAAAATAATAATTTTTTGTCATTTAATTAATATAGTAAGTTGTTTTTCTAGGCACCGTTGCCAACAAATCATTTTCGTTTGAATAAGGACTCCAATAAGGGAGAATGAAATGGTAGGATAGATGTTTACTTAAAAACGGTTCCCAAAATAAAATTTCCCTTCCTATCATTTGAGGACTCAATCTTACCATCACCAACTAAAAGTATGGAAAATTATATAATAATACTTCCTACAATCTTATTTAATAATATAATAATATTTTTAAATTATTTTTATTGTTATAAAATTTGTTTATGATTATTATAACAAAGTGAGTTGTATTAACTTTTCTTTGTTTACTTCTCTTCTCATTCATCGACACTCATTCTCACATTAGAAACAACTTAGTCCTTCTTCATGAAAATCGTGAGGTAACTAGTAAATGTTATAGTCACAATCAGTATTCAACATGAAAATTAAGAAATTGATGAAAATCTCCCTATATTCTTAAGAGACGATTTTAATTATGATTATCAATTACATTCAAGTCAACACTATTTTAGATAAATTAAGGACAAATTGAATTTATGACATTGGTGACAATGTGAAACATTTTCCTACATGCCCAATGTATGCTTTTGATAAAGATGATGATTCAAGTAAGTCTAATATGATTCCTGAAAACTAGATAAAGTCTTATAATACTGGATATAGAGGTACAAGTTGATGAAGTAATATTATGCATAAGCCTTCAAAGTACAAGTGTGATAAAATTCATAACATGATATTTTTCACTGTCATAATCAATTATGATGCATCAGAAATGAAAAAATGATTTTCTCTGTCATAATTGATTATACTTGTAACATAATCAATTATGACAATTTAAATTTGAAAAATATATATTCGTTTTAAAGAATAAATGTTTTTTAATACATTCTGATTTTCTCTATGATATTATTAATGTCCAACGACCATTTTCGATGTTATTTTTCTATTTAATTAAGTTTTGATAAAAAATAAAAAGCACACAATTATGGAATTCGAATATACAATTTACATTAAATCAGTTTTGAGAAAATAATTCTCAGCAAGGCAACAGAGATATTTTACACCTTCTGAGAAAACTCTCTTCTCTACTGTTTTCTGTGCTTTCATTGTTAATCACACTTGTTATTGGAGATTGACATTCTACATGTTTTTATAATTTGTTGTCTCTATTACCCAGGTGTGACTGTTCTTATTTTTATTACCTTCATCTTTTGTGTATTGGTGACAAAGGAGGTACTTTTCATCTTAGTGTGATTTTAGTGAAGTGTTCATCCTTAGTGAGATTCTAAGGATGTATTTTCATCCTTTGATTTGTTTAGAGGAGGTGTTCATCCTTAGTGAGTTTTTAAGGAGTGATTGTCTTTTTAATTAGTTTACTTTTCACTGATTCTTCTACTAAATTGATTGTAATTTGTAAACTGAGTTTGAAAGATAATAAATTGGGAGTCACTCTTGTGTTAAGAGTTGACAGAGAACTGGACATAGGGTTGACTATACCCGAACCAGTATAAATCATTGTGTGCTCTTATCTTTTCTTTATCTTTTTCTCTTTTCCTGATTATATTATCGTTTTCGCTTTATCTGTGTTAAAAAAATGATTGACTCACAAATAAATTTTTAATTTAACATTTATTCTATTTTAATTTGTATATCTATCATTGTCTCACAATACACAGTCTTTGAAGTGAAGGGACGGTGGAACCGATTTCACTGAATCATGTAAAGCACAATTCCAAACACAAGCTACATACATCAACTACTACACTATTTTCCAGCAAAAACAACAAGGTGTATCTTTCATTGCACGTTAGCAACCAAATTCAGATTAGGGACCATATTCTCATCAACATAAATTCAAATCATTGACTGTGACAAAGTTTGTGCATTCCCTTACAAGGGTCTTATTAGTTCAGGATCATAATAGGAACTTTATTGTACGTGTTCCTATGGACAGGTTCTTTGAAATAGGAGAAGAACCAAATCAAGTCTCATATGATCTGAGCTTATGATTTGTGTCGGCTGAGGCAAGGTGACCCTACTACCATCCCCATCATGCCCTTCCTCCGTGTTACCGACAGGGTATTGTGTGTTTCCAATCGTGTGAATTTGTCTGCATGTATAGGTCAAGAAAAGAAGCTCTTGCAAGCTGTGGATGAAAATCCACAGCACACAAATCCCCATTATGCATTTCTTTTTCATCTCACATTTATTGTTTGCATAATTTGGGGTTGTATTATTGTTGCATATGTGTTCTCTGCAACTCTGTTTTTTTTGTGGTTATTATTTTTATACATTGTGGTGTTGTGTAGCGGTGGTTGTAGTTGGAAACTTGGCACTGCCTTCTACTCCATAATAGATCTCTGTCTTGTGATCTTGTGGTTTGTAAATGGGAAACCATGCCTTAATTTCCAGTACTCTTTGGTACCCAAAACTCTAAATTTTGTTAGATTCATGGGACATTGGTCAGGGGTCCACGATACCAAATATTTGAAGGAGGCACTGATATCTCTCTTTCTGCATTCTTGTTCTCTAAACTTGCTCACAAAATTTAGTTAATTGCTTATTTGGGGGTTGCATCATTTTGACTTGGATAGTTTGTATCATCAAATCTAGCCAAATATGGTAACGACACATATTCATAGAGAAAAACTCTGAGCAGTTATCAATCCTCTGTGATTGTTCGGAAACGGATTTTCTACAGTCACGCATTTATGTATTAATAAATTGGTACTATTTGACGAATATTGAACCGTTCAAATCTAGAGTATTTCAAGTTTGATTTATAGATATGAAGTATTAATTGTTTACCCTCCACCTAATTTCAATTGATTTAACGAGTGTCCTGGTCTTCAGCAGAATGGATTTTAATTTAATTATGAAGGTTCACCTCAGAAGATTTAACTCACGAACTTGACTATGTCATGGAATCAATGGACTAAACAATAATATTTAAGTTTGCTTCAACTAAAAATACAGTAGAATGTCCTGGATATCTGCTATGATAACATCAGATCAATTCTCATATTCGAAATTTGATCACTTTTCTTCGTTTTATCCTTAAAATGTTTCTTCTTGACCTCCACCCATAAGAACAGAAACTAAATTACAAACTTGGAGCAGTATTTTCTGACAAATTGTGTCTACTCCATGTTTCATCTTGCAATTGATTTTGATTAATTGATCCTAGGTAAAACATTTGATTGTCTGTTGTCGGAATATCTAATTTGGTGTTTCAATCTATATGGATTCCTTTCCTTGATTGTTCATCTCAACTCTTGAGGCTAAGCTTATGAGTCATTCATCAGAGGGTTGTTTCTGCGAGTCAATATTCAATTATGCGTGTGGTAGTGTGCCCCTGATACCAAGATTTGGGACCATTATTGATCTAAGGTTCCTGACCCACCCCCTTCATGAAATTTTCATAGGTTAAAACGCATCATTACTCACTTGGCCCACACCTCTTTCGCTTTAACTTAATATTTATGGATTCATTTATTTGTTTAATTTTGGCCTCCGCGTACAATTATGCTTCACTGAATAGTAGCAGACACAATGAGGAGGGAAATGGTATGGTGAAAAGTGCAAAATATTGGGTTAATCCAGCGAGTGTTTTCAGAGCTCTGAACATCTATCAGAAAGGCTGATGCTATTTGTGTACCAAATTTCAGACCACATTTTTACAATTTCCCCGTTTGGAAAAATAAAGATAAAGTGTGTGTACTGAGACATGTATTTTTCTTATTTTATCAGTAATTACTCAAGATGGAAGTGATATTAAAATAGTGCAAGGAATATTGTGTGTAAATAACATAATTGTATTGTATTTAGAACTACTTATTTAGAGAGCCATGCAAACAAAACATTTAAGGCCCCCATCTACCCTCTTCTGCATGCCATCAGCTTTTCTATGCTCTCCTACCACAGTAAAAAGGTTCTGACATTAAAAGTAAGAAGGAAAATAGCTATGTAATTGAATGTAATCCAATAATTAAAGACCATCCGTTTTGTCTGACATGATCTATAATTAATTGTTGCTATGCTTAATTTAATCCCTCCCCATTTCTCCTCAGTGTCACAGTTAATTCTTCATGGGGGGACCCACTGATTTTCTTATTTTTATCAAACTGTACTGCCATACTCTCATTTCATATGCACTTTCCTTGAACAGTCCCTCTCCTATTCACTCTCTCACCCTGCATTTATAATAGCAGCATCATTCTGCTTCCTGCTTACACTTTAGCTTACTCACCTCTTCCTTCATGGCTCTTATACCTCTCTTTGCTATTTTATTCTTTATGGCCTCCCCAAGCAATTCCTACTGGCCACCATCACCTAGTTACAGGCCAAGTTCCAAATTCAGGCCTGTGAACTTCTACAAAGGGTTTAGAAATCTTTGGGGTCCTCAGCACCAAAGCATTGACCAAAATGCATTAACAATATGGCTTGATCGAACCTCAGGTCTGAATCTTTATCTTAAAGTCACTTTCAATTCGTTATCATCAAAGAACTATTTTTGTGACTGAAACGTGGCATGCCTTCTGGTTTACAGGAAGTGGCTTCAAGTCAGTTCGTCCATTTCGATCTGGGTACTTTGGTTCTTCTATTAAGCTCCATCCTGGCTATACTGCTGGAGTTATAACAGCTTTCTATGTAAGTTATGATCAAATGATATTTTACAAAAGTATAAGTTGATTGATGGAGGTTTAGTAGTTTTTACATTCATTTTTAGTTTAATTTTACTAATAATTTGATAAATGACAGCTTTCTAACAACGAGGCACATCCAGGCTTCCATGATGAAGTGGACATTGAGTTTCTTGGGACGACATTCGGAAAGCCTTACACTTTACAGACCAATGTTTATATAAGAGGAAGTGGGGATGGCACAATTATTGGAAGAGAAATGAAGTTCCACCTTTGGTTTGATCCGACACAAAATTTTCATCACTATGCTATTCTTTGGAGTCCTAAGGAAATAATGTAAGTCACTGTCCATTCTACAATGTTGTTATTGTTTGAACTGCCTGTATGTCCTAGTTAAAGACGATAGGGTAGGCAACATTTCATTTTCCACTGAAGCAGATAGAGAGAGGAAAAAGGGAATCAACACTAAAAACTTGGACTTATTTGTGTCATAGATTTGACTGGCTCATAAGAAGGTAAGGTACTACAGTGTAGGCACGATTGAGAGTGATATTTTGGAGGATGAAAGAGAAAGAATTTAGTTTTCTCTTAAATTGAGGAAAGAAAAAGAGACACTTTATGACAGGGTTATTTATATAAAATAAAGAAGATCACAGGAACAGCACATATAGTATGAACGTGGAACTATTAGAAGTGTGGGGTAAAGGAAAAATCTATCCACTCTGATACTTTATGGACACTGAAGTTATTATAAAATTACTTTCACACTTTCCCCATAACATGAAGTTTACTTTTCATGCATTAACACTGTAATATGAAAACTAATAAGAAATTATTGACAATATACTCTTTACATTATAAATACATGTAATATTTACTCATAACTGACATCAAATTTAATTTATATACAATGTTAACCGATCAGAAACCATGTTGGATATAACATTATACAACTGTGTATGACATTATTAAATTAACTGCTTTTACTGACATTATGAATTAACATATCAGATTCCTTGTGGATGATATTCCCATAAGGAGGTACCCAAGAAAAAGTGCTGAAACATTTCCACTACGACCAATGTGGCTTTATGGTTCAATATGGGATGCCTCATCATGGGCAACAGAAGATGGAAAGTACAAAGCTGATTATAGATACCAACCTTTTGTTGCAAGGTACACCAACTTCAAGGTTGGTGGTTGCTCAGCCTATGCCTCTCGTTGGTGCCATCCAGTCTCAGCTTCACCATATCGTTCTGGTGGCTTGACCAGACGCCAATATTGGACCATGAGATGGGTGCAAAAATACCACATGGTCTATAACTATTGCCAGGATCCCAAAAGAGACCATAGACTAACACCTGAGTGTTGGGGGTAACACTTTCAAAACTGAATAATAATTTCACTCTTCTACGATAAAGTTTTGCTATATATCAGTGTGCTAAATCATTCAATGGTTCATATAAATAAAATAATATTATGTGTTTATTGGTATACAATATTTGTTACACCAAATTCGAATAATTGTAATGTGTTTGATGTGGTAACGGAAAATTTGGAGTAACTTCGGATTTGGTGTAACTAGGTGCATAATATTTTTTACTTATATGGAAGTACATGTCATTTATCACTCCGAATACTGCATAATTCTACTGTAGAAGAACCAAACTTGCTCTAATCACGCTTTGTGTGCGATTTGTTAATCATATATGTTGTGGTATCTTTTAGAAAGTTAATTTTTTAAATGGGGATGACATGAGATGGGGCCACTGCTTGACAACAACATTGATGCAAGTGTACGGATCGAAAGTTCAAGGGTCCTCCTAGACAGAAGAAATTTTGTAAAATTGTTTGGATTATTGATTTTGTAATATTTCTCTTTGGGGTTAGAACAGTGAAAGAAAAAGACAGAAAAGTATTGATATTGAAGAAGGATTAGGCCAGTAGTATTGGGCCAGGGTGAGTGCGAATATTATAAGCACACTCTTCATTTTATAATAATGCCATTGTCATTTTAATGATGAAAATGAGAATTATTATTATTTTTATTTTTTATTTTTTTTTGTGTTGAAAGTTATCACACTTAAACACTTAGTAACTACTATACAAGTATCAATGAGTATCACTCTCCCACTGTTTCACGTTGTTAGCCATTTCTACATGGCTTTCTACCTCAAAATTTATATGCCTAAAATTTAATTAGGTATCAATGTAGTAATTATTGCTTTCTTAAGTGGGATTTTGTACTAAGATTTTGAGAACTGGTGGTTTGAGATCAATAATAATAAATTTGAGGGTTATTGTTAAAGATGAAAAAAATAATATGCACAATAATTGTTTGAAATTCTTTCTAGGGTTGAAAGAGGATTTATATACTAGAGGATCATGGATGAATTTCAGTTGTTAACTTTGATTAGAAGAGGAAGAATCATACTGTTTGGTGACAAAAATTGGGAATAATAGTGAATCTTAATTATATATATATATATATATATATATATATATATATATATAATATTGAAATATTAATGTTTCATGATTAAAAGTTTAAAAAATTATCCTTCAGAGAATAGATTATTCCTAACGACTTTTTTACTCTAATCTTACAGAGCAACAACATAATATGATGTTATGTGTTAATAAATAAAGAAAAAGTAAGAGAATTACTCTTTATTTTATAATCTCATTATATGTTAGATAATTAAATTATAAGTAAATTAAAAACAAGAATGATTTTTTTAATTGAGTTTTGAAAAATAGAATAATAATTAGTGTTCTTCAGATAAATAAATATAATGGCTTGTTAGAAGTTACTAATAACAATAACATTAAAAAAAAAAATCAAACGCATATATAATAGTTTGATTGAGAGCTTTAAAAAAAAATTATTTTGGTATTAATAATTAGATGTGATTAAGCAACACTGATAAACTACTTTTTTTTTTTTCTATTCAAAGTATAACATTTCCCCATCAAACTATATTCAATACTAAACCAACTAAGGTAACTTCACGTCTATTTATTTGATAAATTTAATGATATTTATAATAAATATAATTAATTGACTAATTAATTAGATATCCAGAATATCAAATGTAAAATAAAATATTTAAAATAGACAAATTTTATTTTTATTTTTTCAATCCTAACCTATCATATAATAGTAATATGTTAGTTTATGAGTTATGGATACTTTTCGTACATTATTTGTATTCAAGACATAGTTTTCAATATGTAAACGAAATTTAATGTAAAGTTAAGATTACCCTTTTTATTTACATCAACTAAAAATTACTTCAAGTTTTAATGTTTAACTATTAGTAATATAAGTAAATAAATAATAAGATCTTAGTCTATTAGTGATTAGGGATGTGATACTAACCTAATTAGTAAGTGATCCGATTCAAAGATTTTAGTTATAGATATTACTGAAACTAGGGACAATTTTTTAACTTAATAATCACAATAATAAAAGAACTTTCTTTCTACGCTACTTTTTGATCCCAAAATGATTGATTTTTTTTATTAAAAAATTACTAGTTATATTTAATAAAATAATTTCCATTTCTTTTATTGTATAATCGACATAATATTAACAACATAATTTATGTTTTAAAAAATCACTATCCCTTTTACCTTTTCCTTACAAACAAAGTTTGAGAGTAAACTTGGGCTAATGAGCATGAGTGTAACCGTGACTTATTAATGAAGGTTAAGAATCATGGTATTTATTTTAAGATTATCTTATTCCAATTAAGCTAATTTTTATTATTAATTCCATAGATATATGTATTATTGAGAAAAAAAACCTTGAAATTTGAAATGAAATTTAAAAAAAATGTGAAACTGGAATGAAATAAATATTAAAATAACATACTGTATTTCAAAACCGACCTTAGCTCAGTTGGTAGAGCGGAGGACTGTAGTGGGAATTCCAACAGACGATCCTTAGGTCGCTGGTTCGAATCCGGCAGGTCGGAATTTTTTATTTATTTTGCTGTATCTGTTGTTGACTTAATTATTAAAAAGATACATGATTTTATGTATGATATATGCTTATATAATAAAAAAAATCAGATTATAATACAACTAATATAAATTAAAAAAACTAAACTATTTACTAAAACAAGTGTTAACTATTTAAAAACATATAAATTATTAAAATTAAAAAAATATAAATATTTTATTGAGTTTAATATATCTAACAATATTTATTTATTGATTTTGGATGAAACTATAATTTTTTAAAAATATTATAACTGTCTTTTTTTAATTTTAAACTTTAAAAAATGACAAAGACTTAATAAAAACTGAGCCTTTGAAATAATGAAATTAAAATAAACTAATTAATTTTATTATCAAAAAAATATTATAAATATTTTTTAAAACTTTAAATGCTGAAATTTATTAATTTTGTAAAGAATAAATTTTAAAAATACTATAAGTATTTTATTTAAAATTATAAAATACAAAATATAATATATCCACCATTTTTTCTAGATTTTCAATATAGTCAATCTGTTTATTAAACAGTAGTTTTATAAATTGAAAATTATATTAAAAGAACTTATACAAATTAGTTCGTTCAGAAACTAATTTAAATTTATAAAAAAATTAATTACAAAATCCTTCTATCATTATCTAGTACTATTATTTAATCACAAATTAACTTGTATGATAAGTATATTAACTTATCATTAATATAGATAACAAAATGGACTAAATAAAATAATACATACAATATAGTGAATAAAACACAATAAGGGATCAAAATAGTTCATTTTGAGTTATATACCTTCTGAAATGAATATGAAACCCTTAAAAAATATGAGAAATATATATATATATATATAATATAATTTCTTTTTACATCTTATAAATTATAATAAATATATTTTTAAATAAATTTTATTATAAAAATAAATATTTTTTGTTGAAATTATATTATCATATTAAGATATGCTTTGCAGTGCAAGTGCATCTAATTTATTTTTTAGTTGTTATAAATTAAAGTGTGGATTACTTGGTGGACTTAGCTTCCTCTTCTGGCCCATGGGCCATAACGAATAGACTGAATCATCTAAATTAAAAAAAAAAAAAAAAAAAATATATATATATATATATATATAACTTGGGCGTATTTAGAAAAATTATCAAATTGTCTTGGGTACGCTCTCCCACCCGAAGCTTGCTGTTGTTGTGAATCTCGCGGTTGAATCATTAGTCTTTCTCGGTTTCTCTGTATTCAACGCGTTAATCTCAACATGGTAACAGTATTCTTTCCTTCTTTTTCTGCAATCAATTATGAATTTTCTTTTAATTTTAAACCAAATTGAAATTGTGATATTGCAGGTTTGCTTGGCTTGTTTGTTGCCCCTTTTTCTGGTTCCCATAGTGAACATCCTTCCTCTTCTCTTCGATTTTATAATTGTAAGTGCATGTCTGATTGCATGCAATAATAAATGAAATTTATAGTTATAGGAGATCTTTGCATAGTTGATGATCTGTAACTGTGTCTTCAGGGAAAGATCTATAGGGTTTTTGGTTGGGAGTACAGGAAACCAGAGAGGACTCCTCCTGCATGTCCATACAAGCCTCCAACCACCACCGGGGTTAGTAAAGTAAGTGCATGTCTAATTTTAATGGTTTATACCAGAGTTTAATTTACATGTATTGTTCACCTATACTCTATGAACAAGAAGGTAAGGTTATTTGGTGATAAAAAGTAGACAAAAAAGAAAATAAAATCTTTAACAGTTAAGATTTATTAATAAAAAATAATTATAAACAGTTATTGTTTAATAAATTGTTTATCCAATGTCAAAAACTTTTGTCAGTGACTTAATTTCCTGGTCTAGAAAGGAGATTCTATTGTGTAATGGCAGATGGAGGAATCTATGATTTCATCTGGTCCATTTGCTGGACTTTAATTTTCTAACTGGCTGCGTGTGATACCAGACCTGCATTATAACTGAGAGAACGAGGAATGGATGAAATATATATAAATGTAAATTTAATTTATAAGTTGATTTTGTAGTTTAATCTAGGTTTACACTAATATTTTAACATATGGTGTCAGATGTTATCAAGATTTGTTGAGTCTACTGTGATACCTATTATCAAACTATCCATAATATCTTATTTCATGCTCTTGAGATGTCTAATGCTAGGTGTGTTGGAAATCACCCACCAATATTCAAACTTATGTTCTCAAGATGTTCAGTCTAAATTATAATAGATAAGTATATAGATACAGATTTGAAGATAATCTCTTTTAGAGGTATTTTAGATGTTGAGATCTGGTTCCGAATTTTTATTTTTATTTTTTTCTTTCTGGTGATTTGTCCAGAAAACTTTCATCATCCATGTGATTTAGAATGAATTCTGTAAAACTTTAATATTGATGTCTTTATTATTCTGAGCCAATTCCAAGTGAAAATTGATAGTACAAAGTCAAAGAAGTTTAACATTATGCCTAAACTGTTGTGAAAGAGGAAAACCTAATCCTAATAAATGAATAGGGTGATCAATGAAGAATTATTAGACTATATGTAGATGTAGAGTTGTGGCAGGCCTCCCACTTGATGATATTTTTACTTTTTTTAATACAAAATATGGTTGTATTATTTCAACTTTTAGGTTTCGCAGTTTATCACAGATGATACTTTTTTAATTTTTGACGGATTAGTCATTTGAACGACAGGACTATTATGTCTATCCTACTATATTCTATGGTATGTTAGTTGAGGGTTAGTCATTTGAAACACCGGACTATCATGTCTGGAACAATTTTAGCTTGTTGTTCAAATGTCTGTTGTCCATTAGGATGTTCGGCTGGAATTTTTTATTTTATTTTATTCTCAAACTTGCATATCAAAAGTGATCTTTTATGCTCACAACCAGTAAGTGACCCTTCAGTTGTCCTTCTTGTTTGCTAATTCTGTTATAATTTTTTTAGTTAGAACTTGCATCATGCATATACAGTGCATAATGCTTGTGTTGACTTATGTGCATGCTTTTAATTTTGTTTTCATGATTTAGTATATGAAGCTTTCATGAATTCAAAATGTGAACTGACATCACAAAATTGTCATGCTATAGCAGGCTGAGGCAGATGTTGAACCTAATCCAGCTGATCTTGTTAAACTTGGAAGTGTAGATGTCAAGAAGGATTAATCTGGTAGCTAAGACTCAATGAGGTTTCACAAGATTAAAAAGTATGATCACATCTGATGGGTTGTATCTGTATCTTTTGTTAAATACCTTGTCCTGTCCTGGCATGTTCTTTGTGTGAAAAAATGAATATAAAAAAAAAATGTTTGGTGTTTTAAAATTTGAGTAGTTACTTTGTTTTAAAGACTATGTAATTTATATATGTATCTTTTGTTAAATACCATGCCCGGTCATGTTCTTTGTGTGAAAAAGAGTATATATAAAAAAAAAAAGTTCGGTTGTTTTAAAATTTAAGTAGTTACTTTGTTTTAACAAAATGTAATTTATGGATGATGTTAAGAATCTGGTACTAAGTTTTGTTTTGAGTTTACTTTTTGAAATAATTTATTTTAAACTTATTTTTAAAAGTAATTTTAAGAATTCTCTCATACACTTCCCTCTCTCTTGATGTTTAATGGAGTATTTTATATATGGTTTAATTTGATAGGGGCAAAATTAAGGAGGAACATTTATACAAATAATTACAAATAAATTGAATTTAAAAGGGATTATGAGTTTTTATAATTAAATTATTCTGTACAATTCTATAATTTTTTTTAACTTTTATAATTGTAGTGCTCATTGATAAACTTAACCTGTTCTATTAGATTAATTTTATCCTCTTCAGGTGGTATAGGATGATATATAGGAAACATTGGTATTATTATTAACCTGGTTCACTACCACATAAGTTTTATTAAGAGCTTCAGCATATTGGTCTTTGAGGTTGAGGGATTATACTTTTGTCTTAGACAAAGTTTGAACCTTTAGATTTTAAGAATAGGAAATATATACTCATTTGAACCTAAGTTACACAATAAATATTGTGAGAATTAAAGATCACTACTACTTATATATAATGTTCACTTAATGTTTTAATTGTAGTGAATATTTCAGTTGTAAAGTCAGAAAATCTCATCTATTATATATATATATATATATATATATATATATATATATATATATATATATATATATATTGAATAGTAATTTAAAAGTTATAATGAAATATTACACTTTTAATCTTTTTAAATAATTTACCACTGATAATATTCTCATCAACTATTAAAATCATAAATTGAAATAAACTGAAACATAGCTGTTTAGAGTTTATTAGTCTGAACCCAACTATCCTTAGTGAACTCTGTGAACTCTATCTTCAACTAAACACTATTTGCTCACTATTTACTTTTCTATATATTCACTTAATTAATTCATGTTGAACCTTTAATAACAAAATATTGATATCATATGCTTAACATCTAAAGAACATTTGTTGTTTCCAGAAGAAAAAATAAAAAAACCTATACAAAGATATTTATGATAAATTTCTAGTGACTTGAATATAATACCTTCAACGCATGACATAGACCAAAATGGATATAACAATACATGCTACTTTGTACTCTTCACACCATATGATTCCTCTATCTAAAAGAAAGAAATAAAATCAAATATAAACTTTATTGTATTTACTATTTCGTATCTAACAAATTTTAAATTTGAATATCCAATCTCTTATAAGTAAACGATTTGTACCATTATCTTTAAACTTCGATTGTGCTTTTCCAAATGTTGTAAGTTAAGATTATTTTCCTAACATGTCAACTGTAAAAATAATATATGATAACATACCTGTCTAATCATGCATTAAATTCAATTATGAATTAGGTATAATTTATTTTAGAATTTTAATCTGATTTTATAGTTAAAATTGGTATAGTTAAAATTTAAACTCAATTTATAACTTGTTTTATATTAATCTAACACTTTTTTAATCAGTTCGATCTAACTAGTTAAAGTAGGTTTGACCTACTTGAACGAACCTATTTCAACTTTGACATGATTCATCTTAATCTAACTCATTTTTACTTGACATATTTTATCTTGGTCTACTCCAACTTATCTAATTTTAGTTTATCCTATCCATTTACAATCTAAACTGACCCATCTAAACCTAACTTGACTCAACCTAACTCATCCCAGAGTAATCTAACTCGACTCAAGTCATCTCAATTTGTTAGCATAACATGACTTAATCCACTCTTTCTAACTTAGTACAATTCGTTAGTTTGACTTTATGGATTTGATATGTCACAATCTTACCGATTTGAAATACTTTGTCATATCCAACCTTATTTATGTGAATAAATGTTAAATATTGTTAGTTTGACTTAATTCATCTGATAATTTCGATAAATTTTATATTTAATAATAATTGAAATATTTTATCTAAATAAAAAATAAATAAATTCCAATAAATTTTAATCTAAACAAAATATTTAAAAATTTAAATAATTTTAAACAAAAGAAATTTAAATTTATTCTATTTAATTTTTCTAAAAAATTACGAACACCTTATTCAAATACAAGAAAGATTTGTTTATAATGATTTTTCTATATATATTAATATTGCGAATGCTCTTAGATTTATGTTTATTATTGTAATGATTTTCTTAAAATATATACAAAAAATATTTGTAATATTTGGTTGGAATATAAAGCTTTTTAATCTGTATATTTTGTAAATTTTTATATTATGCCTTATAAGTTATGTGTAAGATGGAGGAAAAAATTCTTGTTATTAAATCTTGTACTACTTGTTAATGTCATCATAATTTTAGAAATATATATAATTATATATATATAATTATAAGTTAATTAATCATAATCTTGAATATAATTTTTTTTACTTAAATAAAAAATATTTTTTAATTTTATTAGGTATGATTTTTTTTTTAAAATGGTTAAATTTGTATTTGATTAATTTTATCATCAATTTTGGCCTAATCTTCTTTATGATTTTGTATGTCACCTTTTTAATTCTTAAATAATATATATATATATATATATATATATATATATATATATATATATATATATATATTTATGTTTCATTTCATTTACTTTCCCAATAATGAGACCATTTGCTTTTCATGGTTGATATTTGAGGTTCATTAAGTCAAGGAAAAAAAAACTATTCGACAAAGTCAACTAGAGTTTTTTTGTGACTTTTCTCTCATTTATTGGATTTCTACTATAGAGGGTGTTTCAATACTACTAACTTTTATCATTTTTAATGAACCTAGTGTTCCAAATTTTAATAATCCTTATTGTATTGTTTGGATGGTAGAAGTTACAACTGATTATTTTTTTATTAACAATGAAATTCAACCATTACATATGGTTACTCAGATTTCTTCCAGTCAAAAATTCAAAAAATGTTTTCCAACTATTTTGATAATAATCCTATTTAATAAATACACGACATATTTAAAAACAAGTACACAACAATACCCTTTTTTCTTATCTTATATATTTGATGACTAAACTAAATGATATTAAATACACACTTTAATTTTTTATTAAAATAAAGGATAAATACTTTAAATTATTTAAAAGTGCATTAAATAATTTTCTAAATCTAAAAATACTTTTTGCTAAATAATATTTTTTTATTTTCTTAACTTTTAGCTCGATGTTTAAAATAAAAAATATTAATAATGTTTATAACACAAATGAAAATCACTTTAGTGCTGTTTATAATAGTTTACAAATCGTACTACAGAATTTCATGTTAAAACATATTATGAAATATTCATATAAAAGTAATAACTAATTTTTTATTATTTATATACAATTACTAACACTCTTACACGTCTCTTTAATAACTTATATTTACTTATATAAATCATTTCTCATAACAAATATGTCATTCTTTTGAGTTTCATTGCACATTTATAGTAATATATTCTTTATTAAATTTAAAATATATAATTTATAGCAAATTTTACATCGGTAATATGTTATTAACATCTGAAAGAGAAAAAAAATTATATGTATTGTAAATTGATCTTTCAGAATCATTCAATTATATATTATAATCAAGTGTATTGAATTCTACAATAATTATTTTAAAATTTATATCAACAATACTTTAATTGGTACTTGTATTTGTGATATATAAAATATTAGATATTGAAGAGTTTCTCTTTCGTGTGTATATATTGAGAATAAAAATATAATAAAATATTAAATATTAATAATATTAACTATTTAAAAATTATAAATAATAATATAATATTTTTTTCTTTTATTCTAAAACATAATAAAAAACCTCTTAATATTTAATTTAAATAAAAGATAATAAATTAATATTTTTAATATTCCTTTTTACTTTAATATTTATTCATTTGAATTTGATTTTCTTTCTTTTATTTTGTTTTTGTCTTCCTTTTTTTTTTAAATTTGATTTGGATTATGGTGAGATTTTTAAGCGAGTGTGAAAATATTATTTTATTATTCTTTATTTAAATTAAGTATTATAATATTTTTATAATTGTTTAGAATAAAAGAAAAATATTTTAGGTTAGTATTTTGATTTAGGTAATTATGATTGATATATTGTTAATATTTAATATTTTGTTATATTTTTACTATTTTTACTCTATATACAAAGTATATATGAGTACATGAATGAAAGATGAAGACATATTCATATGAGATATATTTTATATATAAGAAATACAATATAAAATCTTAAAAATTTTCATTAGTGGTATGAAGAATTTTGGTTCTCAAGAGAATAATGGAAAGAGAAAGAAGTTTTTCATACGTTACTATTCTAAATTTCGATGACGAAGGCTACAACCTATAAATTGTGAGAATGTAATACTATCTTGAAAGATTATATTTATGGGAAGTTGTGGGAGAAGATTATCATTGATCCGCTGCTGAAAATCCCACAATAACACAAGAGTGGTGATATTTTGACAACTGGAAATCATACAACCCTTTAAACAACTCACTTTTATTAATATAATAATCTATTGAATGATTTAATAAAAATAAAAATAAATTAAAATTATTATTATAATATTAAAAGAGAGTTGTTTATAGGAGTTGTATGGATTTGGGTTGTCAAAGTATCATTTTTCTTTCCTTACTTGGAATCATGACCCTAA